CAGGAAGATGCAAAAAGCTGCCAAATCATGGGGAACACAAACACATAACCAGGCTTTTGTTTGTGCCTCCTGAAGGCAGTCCAACAGAAACAACAAATTTCTGGACTTTATGTGGCTTCTTCTAAAAACAGAACATAAGGGCAAGTTCTTGAATCAAAGGTGCTACTGTGTGAACAGAGACATCTCAAGAGAGAGGCTTTTGTTTTCTTAGTGTGAAATTTGAAATAGGGAGAAAGCAAATGGATGATTTAGCCTCTTATTCAATAGATGTAGTGTTGTTGGACTAGGCTATAGAAAGTGATTAGCAACGGTGACAGAGGCACTGATTTTCTTTCACTTCACACCTGAACTATAGCTTTAGTGCTGCTGAGTGAAGAGCACTGGGCTCAACAGCTGTTTTTATAGAGAGAGACTTAAGCTACAATATTTACATATGGAATCTGAACTTTCTGCAGAATTACAGGATCAATTCTGTATCAAGAATTTATCTTTGGCTCCAAATCCAGGGATATTTGCAATATACAGACTATTTTATGCTTCTTGGATTTCAAAGGTCTGCATTCTTCAAAGACTGTTTATCCTATTTTGCATAACGATTTCACCACCGTATTTTCCTGCTCAGTGCCTGAACCTTAGGATAACAACATATTCCTTAGTAGTGTCATGTACTCAAGCTCTAAATGCTTCACTGTTAAACAGAAAATAATTCAGTGGACTTATAGTCACATCTACACTTGTATGATGCTCTTCATCCTGCCCTGTTTGTAAATTGGGGGTGTACCCTTTTTTCATCCCACTGAAATCTTGGAGATATGGCACCTGGGGTATGTATGTTCCATCCACTTCTGTCTGTATTTCATACAGCACCTTGTTAAAAAAGATTTAACATGTACCCTGGAAAAGCAGCAAATGCTAGGTGTAGTATACAGCAGAAGCAGGAGGTACCTTTGACTACAGCAAAGAGGAAGGATTTTCTCATTTCTCGGTCTCTTCCATTTCCCATGCAAAAGACAGAGTCTTATTCAAGCAGTTCTGTCAGACTATGAAAATGGTAGCAACCCACTAAAGCTGTTTTCTTTTATTAGTAGGGCCTCTGAAGGAGAGCTATATAAACAAGCACCTTTTGTTATATTACAGGAAACAGAACTAACAGTCGTGCTAACTGGGGGGAGTGGTGGAGGAGGGACATGACTGGGAGCTCTTGGAGGAGAAAGTTGCAGAACTTGGGCACTGAAAGTCACAGGAAGCAAAGACACACACAGCTGACCAAAGCCACCACTGCCTGTTGGCTTTGAGCTTTCTCATAAACTGAGCTCATTCTACTTTCAAACAAACAGCTAACCCTCAGCACTCCATGCAGGTGGGGAGAATCCCACCTGGTTGTTGAATTATGTGAACAAGTCAAGGAATGACCTCATGGAGTCTTATGGAGCTGGTGGGGCTTCACCACCCAAGGAAGGTGGTAGGCTCCGCTGGACCAGTTCAAGGAAAGAAAGTGTCCTGAATGGTGCAGAGAAAAGAGAGATAAGGCAGGAACAGGATGTACTGTCTGCACTCAGGGTAATCCACTGTGATACTGTTCTCTGCCTGTTTACTGTAGGGTGGTGTCTGGGGTAAATCAGACTGCTGGCATAGATCTGTCTGACATGAAAAACATGTTGAACATTTGGATCACTGATTATTTTTTTTTAAACAGGGTTTAAAATCCATTGGTAAAACACCGGTAACAGATCTCTTCCTGTCAGTAAACCAGGTAAAGGTTCACATCTCAGAATACACCCTTGTTAACTGTGGCTTAATTTGGGAATGGCTGCTTGTGTGAATTTCCCTCATCCACAGCAGCTGTCAGAGTAAAAGGATAGGAGTAAATCCGTAAATACTGTAGGATAAGACCATAGATACTCATACAAAACTGTAAAAGGATTTACTTACTCTTTTCAAAAAGCAGCGGGCAAGAAGCTCAGGGTTTTCAATGCAATTTTCTATCTCCTTAAGGAAAATCCTGAGAGGGAGAAAGGAAAGCAAACAGTAATGTAACATTCTACTCACACTGTGTGCTAGCTTCAGTGCAAATCCAGCTTAGAACCTATGTTTTTGTAGTTAAGAGGATTCGGTGGGGAAGGTAACAATTCTGACACACAAGTATATTATATATATTTAGAAAAATGGGATGTGGTCCACAGCCAATTGCCTGCATCACCCATATTATCACGTTTTCATCTGCTCACAAGTATCTGATACATCTGGTTCCTTTGGCTGTTGAGATTTGTTTCCAGTATGTAGCCCAAACACCTGCTTTGCATTTGGCTATGAGGATTTTTCAGAACAGCTAGAAAAGACAGAAAAGCTCTGTCAGATGCAGTTGCTTAATCAGCAAGCAGTGAAAATATGGGATGTAGTCCAAAGGCTTCTGCGGTGGCAGTCA